CTCGGCCCCCCTGCCCTCCCCCCCTGCTGCAGATGTCCCTCCCTGTGCCACCACATCCCCCCTGTGTCCACCCCCACCCCTGGCTGGTGGCTGCCACCCCCGGGGGGGGCTGGTTAGGGTGCTGAGTGCTGTATCCCACAGAAGCAGGATGCAGACGATGAGGAGGAGCTGGAAATCGCCGTGGATAACACGGCGTTCATGGATGAGTTCTTCTCTGAGGTAAAGTGGGGTGGGCACGGGAGTGAGGTGGGGCACAGGGTCACCTCCTAACCCCTCCCAAAATTCCTTCTTGGAATGTTTAGATCGAGGAGACACGGCAAAACATCGACAAGATCTCAGAGAACGTGGAGGAAGCCAAGAAACTCTACAGCATCATCCTCTCAGCCCCCATCCCGGAGCAGAGTGAGTGTGGGGGCAGTGTCCCCTCCCTGGGTCATGGGGACACTTCTTGGGGACATTCCTGTGGTGGCTCACATCCATGATCCCGCAGAGACCAAAGATGACCTGGAGCAGCTGACGGCAGAGATCAAGAAAATGGCCAACAGCGTCCGGAACAAGCTGAAAAGTGAGTGGCTGTGTCCCCACCACTGTGTCACAGCTGTCCCTGCCCCCAGGGGTATGCTGAGGGCACTGAGATCAGGGGGGATGGCAGTGGGAAGGGCCCTGATGGATTGGGGTTTGGCTCTCTGCAGGTATGGAGAGGAACATCGAGCAGGATGAGGAACGATCCTCTGCCGACCTCCGGATACGCAAGTCCCAGGTGAGACACTCACAGGGCTGTCTCCATCCAGTGTCCCCAATTCCTGAGTGCCTCACCCCACCCTGTCCCCCATGGGCTGAGGATATGGCATGTCCTGGTGTCCCCAAGTCTTCCCTCTCTGTCCCCAGCAGCACCCTGTGCTCCCCAGACTTCATGTCCCTCTGCCCTGTCCCCAATGCTCTGTCCTGTCCCCCCTGGGCTGGGACATACCACATCCTTGCTCCCATGGGTCTTGTGATGCTGTCCCATGCTCAGGACTTCATCCTGCCCTGTCTCCTGGGGTTGGGGGCATGCCATGCCTGGAGTGTCACTGCTCTGACTCCCTGTCCCCATCTGCAGCACCCCAACCCTTGGGCTGAGGGAGTTCCCAGTGTCACACCTCTGTCCTTGGTCCTGTTCCCTGGGGATAGGCCATGCCCAGGGTCTCTCTTGTCCTGGTCCCCAGCACTGGGTCCTGTCCCCAGGGATTGGGATTTGCCATGCCCAGAGGGTCCTCAGCTCCATGTCCCTGTCCCTGTGCCCAGCATTGGGTCTTGTCTCCCAGGGCTGGGACATGCCATGCCTGGGGTGTCCCTAGCCCCTTGTCCCCAGTCCCTTGTCCCCAGCACTGGCCTGTCCCCGGGGACTGGGGAGGTGCCATGTGTGGGGTGTCTCCATCCCCACATCCTTGTCCCTGGGGGTTGGGACACGCCATACCCAGAGCTGTCTCCAGCCCCACAACCCTGTCCCTGTCCCCTAGCGTTGGGACATGCCATGCCTGGGCTATCCCCACCCCCCCATCCCTGTTCACATTCCCACATCTGTGTCCCCATCCCCACATCCCTGTCCCCGGGATTGGGACATGCCATGCCTAGGCTGTCCCCACTCCCACACGCTTGTCCCTGTCCCCAGCATTCAGTCCTGTCCCGCAAGTTTGTGGATGTGATGACCAAGTATAACGAGGCTCAGGTGGATTTTCGGGAGCGCAGCAAGGGCAGGATCCAGCGCCAGCTGGAGATCAGTGAGTGACCACGACCCCCTTGTAGGCTGGGAGGGGCCTGATCATCAGACTCCGCCCACTCCAGGAGTGGGTGAGGCTAATTCATACAAACCCCCCCACCTGGGGATGTGGGTGGGACCAGACAGTGACTATTTACCCTGTATGGTGATGTGGGTGGAGCCATCTGCTATAGACCACACCTCTTTGAGGAAGGGGTGGAGCTATGATGCACAGATCCCACCCTTTTCCCCGGAGTGGGCGCAGCCTGATCCCACCCCATCCCCACGTGCCTGCAGCCGGCAAGAACACTACGGACGAGGAGCTGGAGGAGATGCTGGAGAGTGGGAACCCCTCCATCTTCACCTCGGGGGTGAGCCCTGCTGTCCTGAGGGGCGTGGGGGGACATGGGGGGACACAGGGCCAGGCTGACAGCTCCTCTTGCCACCTTGCAGATCATGGACTCGCAGATCTCGAAGCAGGCACTGAGCGAGATTGAGGGGCGGCACAAGGACATCGTGCGCCTGGAGAGCAGCATCAAGGAGCTCCATGACATGTTCATGGACATTGCCATGCTGGTGGAGAATCAGGTATGGGGCACTGGGCACAGGTGGAGCTGCACGGAGTTGTGGGGGCTGGCAGGGATCCCAGCATGGAGTCATGGGGTGAGCAAGGATTCACTCGTGGGGTCGTGGGGATGAGTGGGGAACTGTGTGTAGGGTCATGGGGAGGGGCAGGAACCTGAGCATGAGGACAGGCAAGGACCCATACGTGGGGTTGTGGGGACCAGCAGAGACCTACACATGGGGTCAGAGGGCCCTGTGCACAGGGGCAACAGGGACCTGAGCATGGGGACCAGCAGGGATCTGTGTATGGGGTCACAGGGACAAGCAAGGACACACACATGGGGTCACAGGGACCTGTGCACAAGGGCAAACAGGCACCTGTGCATGGGGACCAGCAGTGGCCCAAGCATGGGGTCAGTGGGGATGAGCAAGGACCTCGGCACAGGGACAAGGAGGGATCCAATGCAGTCACAGGGATGAGCAGGGAACTGTGCATGAGGTCATGGGGACAAGCAGGGACTGCCACACTGAGCTGCTCAGTGCTCCATGTGCCAGAGAGTGCCACAGAGCAACACACCCACCTGTATGTGACCACAGAGTGGCACAGTGACCCACACAGGGGTGAAACATCCGTGTGGTGACCAGCACACATGCCCCCTTGGGGGCCACTAGTGATCTGTGCGGGGTGGCAGGGCTCAGACCCTCTCTGTCCTCCCATGCCATGCAAGGAGCCACCCTGTGCCCTGGGGAACGGGTGAGTACCTGCGTGTGGGGCCATGCCACATGCCATGGGATGGTGTCCCAGTGTCCCCACCGAGCCTGTCCCCTCTCCTGTCCCCCCAGGGGGAGTAATGTGGAGCAGCACGCGCCACACACAGCCAAGCACATGGAGCAGGCGAGGCAGCAGGCCATGAAGGCACTCCAGTACCAGGGCCAGGCACACAGAGTGGGTGGGTGCCAGCACCCCTGGGTGCTCTCAGTGTCCCCCTCCCCTCTGTTCCCCCGTGCTGCATAGGGATCCATGATTGACCGCATAGAGAACAACATGGACCAGTCTGTTGGCTTCGTGGAGAGAGCTGTGGCTGACACCAAAAAGGCTGTGAAGTACCAAAGTGAGGCCAGGAGGGTGAGATGGACCACCAGCCCCAGTGTCCCTTGCAAGGCCCCCAGTGTCCCAAAGCCACACCCAGTGTCCCTCGCTGGCCCTCAGTGTGCCTTCACATCACCCATTGTTCCCAGCAGCTCCCCATATCTTCCAGCAGTCCTGAGATCCCTTTGTGTCTCCCAGCCACCTCTCATGTCCCCCAGCCACTCCTCATGTGCCCCAGCCACTCCTCATGTCCTGCAGCCACCTTGTGTCCCCCAGCAATCCGTCATGTCCCTTAGCCACCCCAGCTGACCCCAATGACTCCCACCTCCTCCCAGAGACCCTCAGCCACCCACTGTGTCCCTATTCCCCCCCTCACGAAGGATTGGCAGCTCCGTCCCCTTCTGTCCCCCCACCACACCAAGCCCCCTCCTACCCTTAGGTTTGATGAGCTAGTGAGAGCTCAGCCCCTCCTGCCCTGTTCCATCTCTGGCTCTTCTGGGCTCCCCATGACCCCCTACATGGGACAAGTGACACTGTCCCCTGTCTCCCCTCCCCAGAAGCTGCTGATATTGGTGGCAGTGGTGGTGCTCTTGCTGGGGACAGTTGCCCTCATCATTGGACTCTCAGTGGGGCTGAACACAAAATAGCCCCTAGGGGGTGGTCTGTAAGTGTTGGGGGAGAGGAGACACCCCCGCCCCAGAGGGGACACAGTGCCCTGGGGACAGCTGGGGTGTTGCCACCATCATCTGTTTGGGGGGACTCTGGTGCTTGGGTTTGGAGCTGGGTGCTGGTGCTTGCTGGTTGGTGGTCTTCGGGGGGTGTGTGGTATTTGGGGGATGGTGGTGCTCAGGGCTCTGTGTTCTTTGAGGTCTGCAGTGCTTGGGGATCTGTGGTGCTTGGAGGTTCATGGTGCTCAAGGGTCTGCACTGCCCAGGGGCTGATTCTTTGGGGTCTGCAGTGCTTGGCGGTCCATGTTGCTTGGGGGTCTGTGGTGTTCAGGGGTCTGCACTGCTCAGGGGTCTGTGGTGCTCAGGGTGCTGTGCT